CAAAAAGGTAGAAATTAGCTCACAGTTCAACTAGCCAAAAATCTGGATAGGCGACACAGGTCACTGCAAGAGCTCAGGGATTTAACAGTCACAGTTAAGGCCTCTTTTTGTTTAATAAACAACATTTTGTTACTGTAATTAGAAAAAAGATCTAGTGGATGCTACTAGATCTCTGTACTACTTTGCTAAATATTAATTTTAAATCACTCTTTAGATTGACTAGACCATATTCAGGTATAATTAGAGGCATACTTCACTGATAGAAACCTGCAGAAGCATCCTGAAGTGCTCCCAAGGACTTCAGTATCTCTCAGTGAAGTATCTTAAGCTGGCAAAGGTATAAATGCTGTTCTGACTGGACTCTACACATGTATCCATGTCCTGGCATCAAATACAAAGCAAAAATTTTCTCTCCATCAGAGCAAGAAAATAGAGCCCTGTGCTTCTCTTTTTGATCTCTGTTGACATCCTCCTAATTTTTAAGATTATGCTATGTTCATTTTGGTTTTGAATTCCCTGTTCAGTGCATTTTAATTCTTTTGTAGCCAGTCATATGAGCAGTGTAATAACTTTCCTCCTCCATTAGGAGAGGTAGAAACTTCAAAAAGAATACAGAAAGCACTTCAACAGACCTATGTGCATCAGTATATTCTAGTGTGGGCTCATTTTAAGGTGGTATTACACTCTTCTCATGCTTCCCAGAGCATCCACAAAAAGCACAAATAAAGTCATATTTGAATGTATGTGAATGTTAATACGGGAGTTCAACTCATACCAACAACAAAGATACATGAGTAATAGTCCAAGCAACAAAGCAGATATAGAATTAATTAACATGGGGAAAAACAAGTTTCGATCCCATTAAATAGAGCTTTCTAGGTGGCTACATGGGTTATGAAACTAGCACTAATGAAGATGAGACCACAAGGAGAAAAAGATTTTTCCCTAGACCTAAATGAAGCTGTAATACAAAATGAATTTGAGAACATTTCTCCTTCTTACTTCAAACTAACAGAAAAATCACATTAGGAGATTAGTTGAAAAATTTATGCCTACAGCTTGTATGGGATACTGGGATGGTAAGGACTTCTTATATATCTGCATATGGAAAAATGAAGAGTCACTAACATATCTTTGTGTGTCAGAGAAGTCTGATAAATCTCCTGTGCCTCCATTCCAGTAATTCACCATTAGCCTCTGCAACATATTTGGAAACCCTGAAACATGTCACTCCTGGGATGGGAGCTGTTCTCTAGAGAAATAGTCTGTTGACAGAAACCACCGACTGTCATGGTACATTAAACAAATAGGTTGCATTTCTCAATGAGAAAACAACAATCCTCATAATAATCAAAATTAAAAGTTGAAAACAACTGTCCATTACTTTAAAAAAAAAAAAAAAAGCTAAATAAAAAAAGTGCCAACACTGAACAAGACACAGGTCCCTGTAAAAGCAGAGCAATACCTTTTAAGGACAAACATCACTGTGTAAAACCTCTGAGCTGGCTCATGACTGACAGAAGTAGCACCTGATCTTCACAGGTACTCCATACCTAGTGGGGTTTTGTTTTGGTTTATTTTTCATTATTACTGTTACAGACTGCACTGTGTAGTGGAGACACAATATGTCTGTCCCGTGATAGGACAGATATTATTTATGCAAACAGCTGAGGACACTCATGTACAGCAGCAGTCTGGGCAATACAAACACAGAGGGACACATCCATATGTAGGCATGCATTTGTGCTTGGACAAGTACAGAAAAAGTTCACAGCTACTATACAAGGACAGAAACCTTTGGGTCAGGATTTTTTTTTCCCTCAATTTCTGAGAGAAGAAGGAATCAATATAAGAAAACTCAAGTCAAAATTACCAAATTTAACACCATCTTGAGTTAAGACAGATGAGAGATGTCTTAACAATCAGCATTTCTGGATATTCCCAAAAACTAAGTGGTCCTTCTGAACCCTCAGAATAGTTCCAGCTGGCAGATGTCCATGTACATAAAGGAATTCATCCTACAGGAGAAGGAAAGGGGTTAACATGAGCCCATGGAAGACTCCAGTGCTTTGGGGAGGAGGAAATATACATGCTCCAATAAGCCTTTTCTTCTCCTACAGAACTACAGAAGAGGCCAAGGTTTCATTATAAGCCCAGCTGGAAATGGTAATTCAGCACCACCTGTCCCAGCCCTCACTGACCTGCCCAGCCTCAGCTGCTGCCTCCACAGCCTATTCTGCACCAGGAGTCCCAGTGAAGCTCAGGCTTCTGTTCCCAGACCTGGCTTGAGCTTCAGTAGCATGTCTGCCTCAGGTCCTGTACTCATCTCCTCAGACCTCTGTTATTTGGACTCTTCAGACCCAGGCTGTGGGTGATCATTTCATCAACCAGGCACATGGTGTGACTCTTAGGGCTGTCCTGTGCAGGGTGAAGAGCTGGGACTCTATGATCCTTGTGGGTCCCCTCCAACGCAGGATATTCTGCGACTATGGAATTTTCCACGTCTGGGGCTGGTCATGGCTACTTCCAGCCCCCAGCTTTGCCACACTGCTCAGGCTCCATGGCACCAGATGTTCTGCTGGAGTGGGCCCACTGCCTGTGCTGGTGGCACCCTCACATCCCTTCTCAGCCTCCCTCATGGAGAAGCCCTGCTCATGCTGCTCCCAAGTGCTATCGTTTAACAGTATCAGACAAACTTATTTCAAAAGAGGAAACCACTATTTTTAATGAAGTTTTTTTTTACTATTTTAAAACCATCTAGTCTGATCTAAATTCACCCCTTAGTAAAGATCACCAAAAAATACCAAAAAATAATCTTCAAAGTTTCCTCCTGTCTCTACACAGAGAAAACTCAGTGGTCCAGTGTGGTGTTGGTACTAAAAATTGACATAACCAGACTACTAAGGCAAAGCTGATAAAATTAACACAGTCAAATCACAGTGACTAATACAGTCTGTGTCTTGTTCTTCGTTCATTACATTTTTATATTTTCAGAAAGTGCTGCACAATACTGCCTTTTAAATCTATGCTTTGTTTTTCAAACCCACACCAACACAAAAAAGTCACCTACAATACACAGCTGGAGAGGCTGGGAAGGGGGAATGGGAAAAGAAAGACAGGAAAACCCAAGCATCTGTATTTCAGGAGAGGGAAGCAGGCAAAATAACACAAATTGAAATAGTAGTTAATTTAGGTGCCTTATACAACTAACTTGTTTGTTTGAGGCTTTAAGGTGCTTCGGCCTTATCAAGTCATATTTGACTTTCTTCTCCATGAAACAGATATGCTTTTTGTGGTTTCCAGTATTTTTTAATATTGTCTTATGGTAGAAAGTAGGTATTTAATTGACCTGAGAACAGCAAGAACTACTATACAATGTAATTTTTGTTTGTAAACTATCAGGTTCTAAAAAAAAGGGTTTCTAAGAGTAACTTCTTAGGAGATGTTAACAGTCAGCAGTTTGATCCATTTGGTAAGTAATTGTTTTTTCAAACAGTAAAAAAAAAAAGTCTGTTTAAAATATATGAAAAAAAAGTTTCAAATGGTTGCTATCCTCATCAGTCACCTAATGCTAAATGTATATATCCTACAGTACCCTTGTATTAACCTCTGTAATTAAACTAATAATAATGTGATGTTTGAAATAATAGTATTTCTAATTTTCCTCTTAAATTCATTACTATACATCAAAAGACATCAACAAGACCATAGTTCAATTAGCTTACAATCTTGACAACATTTACAACCAGAAAGATAAGGTTACACTGTGATAAATATTAATGGAAAAGGAAAATTTTTGCCATCTGAAAGTCAGACACAGCAAATGTAAAAATTATTTTTAATCATGAGGAGGACTTTGATGGGCAAAAACAAAATGTTCACTGGAAAGAAAATAATGTAAAGAATTTAGAACACTTAAAGTAACTACACTGAAGAGCTTATATCCAGACTTCAAAACCAATCCATGAACAAAAATGCAGTTTAAAAAGGTTTTATAATTCAGCAATATGACATATATTTACCAGGAGTCAGAGGAAGAAAAAGTAACTACACTAAGCCTTGAACTGGTATTCTGACCTAAACATCACACTAGGTTTTGCAGCAATTCTGAAGGTCACATTACTAAAAGACAAGGAAGTAAGAAAGAAGAAGATATTATCAAAACTCCTCTGTGAAATGTTTATTGTGCTGAGAAACACCACTTTTTTTTTTTTTTTTTTTTTTTTTTTTTTTTTTTTTTTTTTTTTTTTTTTTTTTTTTTTTTTTTTTTTTTCCCATTCTGGGCAGTAAGTTCATACCTACCTGGGATATCCAGAGCAATGAATTTTAAAGTCAACCACCAGGGAAATTACTACATAAGCTGGAGAAGATGGGAAAATCAGATGAAGACTTGTGTGATTTTTGTAGTTGCTGCTATGGTTCTTTTTTTTTTAATAAATTAACAAAATGGAAGGATACCAACTGGCATTGATAAAAGGAAAGCATCAAGAGAAAGAAGATTAAAATAGATTTCCTCAAAGTACAAGTACAGGACAGAAAAATGCTTGTAGTCTTGTGGGGAAATGGGCATCCAGAGTTGATTGACAGGAGAGAGTAGCTTGTTCAAACAAATATAAGAATGAAATATATACATGGTGACTCCTTATAAACAGGTTAGAGGAGCAACACAGAAGTAACTATATCTAATTTAGCCATTAATACATCTGGGCTGATAATAACATCAGACAGATCTTAATGAGTTGCTAAAAATATTTTGGAACTACCATCTTACAAATCAAAAAATCCCTGAAGGGTAAAAAACCCTATAAACGCTCTTTTTGTAACCAAATAAGCATGGATTTATTTTCAAAAATGAATGTAATTTAACATCCTAAACTATTTAAAACTGGTCATCCTGCCTCCTTCTGTGTAGCTTATGAGTAGTACACTAGACCTGCAGAAAGAGATAAAAGGAATTCTTCTGCTTTGTTGAATGTTTTGTAAATTTGGAAGATTCTTACCCTGTATTGATGGAAATTATTTCTATAAGTGGATTCTTCCTAATCTTTGGCAAATCCAGTCGTGCTCCCCCCAAACGTTTTCCATTATCCTTTTTCTGACCCAGTAGTCTCACAGAATGACCTTCAAATTAAACAAAAAAATGCAGTCATTACAAAGAACAAGTCTCATCATAGTTGTTTTGATTTGCTCTTCTTCAGAAGTAGTGTTTATATTTTAAAGATTGAAAATGAGAATGAGATGTAATAATATATTTCCATCATCTGGAGCATTTATAAAGAGACACTGACAGGTAAAATAAATCATCTTAAAATGAGCAAGTTATTTCATCCAATTATCTTTTCACACTTACACTTTCTGTTTTATATGATTAAAATTGTCTAAGCAGTCTCATTTTCAGATTCTCTAGCAAATAGCAACATAGCAATAATATTTAAATGAGTTGCATGGCAGGATCAAATTATTCTTCAAAAAAAATTTAATTCAAACCTAAATTAGGAGGTAATAAACAACTAAATATTTTTTTAGCTTATTATATGGAGAACCAACACATTTCAAAGTTACCAGACAGTGGAAGTCTAAAAGCCATGTCTGTGGCTACCAAGATTTACATATATTCCTCCCACACCAGGACAACTGCAGGTCAGAAAACTGCCTCACAACTTACTTTCCTGAAGTCATTAATATTCAGGGACTAAAATATAAATAATTTCACCAACTGCCTACAACATTAGTCATGCCACGACAAGTCCTATATTTAAAGAGCACAAATGACAGGGTTCACTCATATTTTAAAGCAAGAACTAACAATGAAGAAGCAAAATGATTGTGTGTATTATTGCATAAGGTACTTTAAAGTGTTCCCAAATTATAAGTGAAAGACTTGTATTATTTACTTCACAAAGCCTAGAACAGGCAGATGAGAGACGGCAAGTGAAAGCTAATAGTAGATACCTGAGTAGAGTTGGAAAACAACAACTCAAACTGGCAGGAAAGAAAGCATGTGTCTCTTGAATTTGGAAAACTTTCTGACAGTAAACTCTACAGCTTCAGTCCATCCAATATTTCGGGAATGAAAAAGCTAACCCTGAAATGGGAAGGGGGCGTTGCAGGGGGGAGGAAGAGGAATGCATGAAACTATAAAGTACGAGTTGAGCACAGCAAAGCTTATGACCACTTCAAATTAATTAAAAGCTGTGTTACATCAAAGCTCCTAACTTATGTTACCGACACCTATTCACAAAATTAATTCCTTCATCAGTCAAAACCTTTCTTCACTGCCTGTTCTAAGGGGTCATAAATTAGTTTTTGAGTAATGTGGCATTCATGCTCTTAATTTATTTCCTTGATATGTCAACAACAGCCTGGAAAAAACCCAACTACTTCTAGAATAACATCTTCCTCAAGTTTTTTTAAAGATACATAAACATTCTAAATCAAAAATGTGAATCTAATGAACAAGTGAGCAGGACTGACCTGATAGCATAAAATTTAATATCAATAGGAGACATAATGGTTAATACTGATAGAAGGCATCATAATGTCGACAGGAAATAAAAGGTATTGCTTCTGCAGTTGCAGTTGACAAAATTTCATTATATCCTGTGGTGAAGTTAGTAATATGGTGCTTGTGCTACTAGCATTTGCTAAATAACTCACTTCTACCTTTTCCTGAGAACAGCAGCAATATTCTTGTCTCACAATACCATCAGTTATTTTCTAATCTAATGCTTCATTGAGGAGCTGCAAGCACGGCACCATTTTATTTACTTGTGTAACAAAAGAGAGGGGGTTAAACAGAAAACATTCCTTTTTTATTTCTTAATACTGTGGTTTATTTGGAATAAACCAGTTTATCCATTTTTAAATGTTCAGCTACATTGTTATATTAAAGGTGTATTTGGATTTATGGCTGAAAACACAGTGGAATGATTCCCTGTAGTCTTAAAACAATTAGGTTTAACAACAAGTTACCCAAAATTTAAAATTCACACACTTAGAATTGGGGTCAAACCACCATTCTTAAGTTTAAAAAACAAGATGAAAACAACAAACCACAAACCCAACCTTCCCCCCTCCCCAAGTAATGTCTTAGTATGCAGAATCAGGGAGGCCCCATCTCCTCAGAGCACAGACCCTCGCAAGGAGAAGCCATGTGAGTAACTGCTCTCTAACAGGAATTCAGCTCATGCTCTGCCTTTCTCATACTGCGAGCAGTCCTCAAACAGGCAATCACCCCCAAAAACACACCACAAGATGAGGCCATTCTACAGATAGAATATAACTTACGGGGAGAATAAGACTGAGCTGCTTCTATGATCAGAGACTTCCTTTATTTAGGAAAGAAACCTCAGCTCTGTGACATCTCCCACATGATCCACTGAATGTTAACACCCATCGCCAACCCTGACCCTGACCTCAGGAAATCTATGGCCTGACAATCAAAAACGGCAGCTTATTCTCACATAAAATACAATTCCCATATTCCTTCTGAATGACACTGAAGTCAGAATTAAAATGAGGCTCGTAAGAGCTGTGAGGTACTCAAGAATAACAACATGCCTGTATTTTTCAGTCCAGACACCAGAGGCTAAAATAATGCCTCCAGTGGGAGACAATTTTTAGCAGAGAGTTTAATGCTTCCAGAAGACAAGCAGCACACGCACATCCAACTACTGGCACACTTAATTATTTTTCTTACAAAGAAAACCCCCTCAATTACAGTATTTGTGACCTTAAATCCTTTTTCCTCTACTCCATACAAGGACTATTTTGTTCCATTTTAAGTAACCACTAAAGCATCTGTTTACAGAATTGTTACTATTAATAAAACATAACCTGATAAACCCTGAATCATATTTTTTCATATGCTGTAAATCTTTTTTCCTCATACTTATTTCAAGAAAACTGACAAATAAATATTTTGCCATCTTCAACTAGGAAAAGGCTAAATAACTTTTTTTAGATTGTCTAACCAGCACTATTAATCCCAGATCAATATCAAGTTTAACCAAAAAAGTAGTAATTTTAAATCTCATTCATGAGCTCCTTTCAAAACTTAGAATGGGACAAAGCACTGCAATTAAGCTTTACTTCTAAAGCATTTTATCTGATTAAGTCACCCTCTCTCTGATTTTACAGGTTTCATAACTTACCTAAGCAAAGCAGGTGTCCCAAACTTAAAAGGAGTCTTTCTTTTCATGTTTGTTTTATTTCCTTTTTTTTTTAAGTTTTGTACAACATTTTTGAAAACTGAGTTAATCACAAATCTGTTAACTGCAATGATGAGTGCTCCATCTCAGATATCAAGCAAACACACCACTCCTTTTTTGAGGGCTCACTCTACAATACAAGCCTTGAAACACAGCTTAGAGACAAACAGATCTAGTCAGGTTAGATAGGAAAGCCTAAATGATCTAGACCTATTAACTGTTTCTCCTATAAAAATAACTTTTCTACTTCCACACAGTATAGCAATAGATAAAATTTCATTAAGAAAAAAACAAAACAAAACCTCAAAAAGTTAATTGGTGGTTTAGGTCATGTGTCAGAGCAGTTTTTCACTAATTAGTAGATAATTAATATAAATTACAACATAACAGAAGTACTAACCAAGTCCAGCAAGGACACTTGCAGAGCAGAATCACTCACAGCAAATGCAAATGAAATCAAGCTAGGAACAATTTAAAATGAACAAGAGCTCTCTAGTTTTCAGAACTTTTTAATATTAAACTCATCTTTATATAGAAGTCAGTAGATGCAATTCATGTTACTTGGCACTATCTGGAAGAAGGATGAGGTTGGAATAAATTAATCAGGATATTAAATCCTATTGTTAGTCTAAAAGAGGGCATTTAAATGTGTCTACTTTGATCATTTAGTATGCAAAATTAAAATATTTTCAAGGTATTTATTTTCACTTGTTAAAAATAACACAAAATAGCACAGTTTTAATGGCATGTACATATACCTCTCATAATAAATGTATGTGCTTCAGGATTGATGGAGAAGGCCCAGTCTTGAAATACTAATATATGAAGGGAACAGGTAATGGAATTTCTTTGTCATAAGATTATAGCATTAAATGTCCTGTGAACCTCAGGTTAACATCATATCCCTGTAACCTAGAACCACAGAAGCATGCTAATGATATTAGAGCAAACAGATTCAAACGGAACTGGTACCTTCCTAGTTTATTACAAGTATAAGTCAGGGGGAAGTAGATCTATATTATGTTGTAAAAAATAGTCAGCTTCACTCTGTTCGTAGGCTGGCACTCCTCAAGAACTGCTGGGAAATTAGATCTGCTTGAAAGATGGAAAAGGGCACGCACTGAGGGTCCCTCCCCACCTCTGCACACCCCATTGGAGCTATACAGTGTGACTCTGAAACAACTCCCAGACAGACAGCTTTCTTAGCTATTAGCTTTCAAGTTCAGTGCAGGTATCTCAAGCAGCTCAAAATCACAATTTTACAGAAAATCCTCAAAGATGCAGGAAACCCCAGCCTTGGCAGCAACAATTTCTATTGTCTTCTGTTTATTCTGTTACCCACTCTTTCCTTTTCCCAGTTTCATCACTATGCTTAGAGGTTATTCACCATTTCCTGAAAGACTTTTTTTTTTTCCTCAGCACAGTCGCCAATGCACTGTTCTGCACTTCTCAGATGTCTCTTACCAACCTGTCTGATTTTCTCCAGCATCAAGGAACAGGATTAAGCACTATTTTGTGTACTCTTGCACACATTCCCTTCCACCACTGTTTGGTTCTTAATGAATTGAGAGTTTCATTCCTCAAGGTTAGCACTGGAAAAAATAGCACATAGGAGTAGTGTAGCTAAGGAAAGGAAGGTAAAAGCATATGAAGGAAAAAGAAAGTAATACATTTATTCAAAGAAAAATTAAAGGAAGAAGTGTAAAGAACCAATAGCAGCAATAAAGAGTGAACGAAGCATCAAGAATGGGCAGATCATAAGTTCCTCTCCCATCTTTTCTCCCTGCCCTGCAGCACAAACATACTGTCCCACAGCAGACATGACTGATTTCAAAGGAATTTCCAAGCTCCCCAGAACAATCACATGCTGTGAAACACACATGAGTGCAAAAATAAGGACACTCATTGGTT